TTAGATTAGTATGTTTTGTTCTGCTTGATAAAACCTTGGTTTAAGGTATAATTCTTTTCTCTTCTTTTCTTTTCTCTAACTATATCAGCGGCCAAATCTTGAATATCTCTCACGGTCGTTTACACATGATCATCGTCTCCCGCAATAATAGGAACATTGCCATTATTTTCTGTGAATCTTAAACATCTCCCACAGTTGTGTGGACGTGATCATCTCCCGCGGTCGACGACTATTGGAGTTTTCGATCCGAATGTGGTTAGGTTATAATTTATTTGGATAATTGGAGTTTTTCTTAAATACTTTTCATTAAAAATATGTTAATAGATTAAGTGAATTTCTAGTAAAAACAATTGGTAGTAAAAAGAGAGTGAATATATTATAGGTTCTTAGAGACAAGGAGTGCAACCTCTAAGAACACCCAGAATACTCGGAAAATCTTGGGAAAACTTGGCTGGCTTATGGTGGTAACAGAAAACTGCAGATAGTGGAGGCAATAACGGGTGGCGTCGTCCTGTAATCCAGCTACTAGGAGGTCACGAATTGTGGATATTTATAGGGATGCACTGTGGATGCGATGCTCACTGGTGTGGATTAACGTCCGCACTAGTGAGTACTACGACTATCCGCAGTACTATCCTGATAATTAGACCAATTCGTAAATTACAAGGAAAAATGTGGTTCGGATTCCACTATAAACTGTAGGTCCCTTAGTTGCCATTAGCTGTATGGGCTATTAATTAACAGCTGTGTCTAAGGAACATGTCGGCCTTAGTCACTAACAAGACTACAAGATCGCGCCACTCATCCTTCACTCATATTTGGGTTAAAATACGCACATAGTGGCGTCCCCATCTTAAATAATTGATAATTGATAATTGATAATATAATGATGATACTGTAGGCTACTAAAAACTAAGTTGGTTTCCGATGGGTAAGAGTAAGCAAGTAGTTAAGGAGGAACCAAGGTGCTGGTGTAGTCACAGTATAGCCAGAAGAATTAATGACTCTGTCACACTTTCTTGTAGCACTAAAAGAAAAAATGTTATTTATAAAGTAAACAATCAACATAACAAGAGGGAATCTCGCTTCAAGAATCTTGAAAATAGTAATGCTGGACTTGAGCAGGTTAGGCCTAATAGGAAAAGTTTAGTACCTGCTAAACAACATAACGTGTTGCGAAATAAAGCGATCATAGGTAAAGCTAAATCTGCAGGACCACTTGTTGTGGCAGAGAGGAAGTCTTGGTTATTTATTTCTAGGTTGGGTCCCAGTGTAAAGGCCGAGTATTTGGTTGATTATATTAGTAGCTTGGACCAAATTGAGAGCACTCAGATCCGCTGTGAACAGATTCCTACTAAGAATAAAGAAGATTATTCGTCATTTAAGGTAGGTGTGCCTTTTGATCTTGCAGAGAAACTGCTCGATAGTGACTTGTGGCCTGAAGGAATTCTAATAACTAGGTTCTTGACGCCTCGTAACCGCAGACATTGGTCTAGGCCTAGCCTTGAAAACAAAGATAGAGATAGGCTTGACTCTCAAGGTAGTGCCTCAAAAAACGGGCAATAGGCCCTAGGCCTAGCTCATCTAGCCCTCGGATACGTAACTGTAATATTAGGTTTAAGCTTGATTTTATTAATATTAGGTCAGTTTTTAACAAGATTGAGGACTTGGAAGTTATTTTGCATAAGGAAAAAAGCGATGTGTTGTGTGTTGCTGAGACATGGTTAAACAATGACAAGATTAATTCTTTCAAAGTTTCTGGCTACAAAACAATTTCTTGTTACAACAGACCAAACCGCACAGGTGGCGGTGTTGCATTGCTTTTAAATACTGACTCTAGGCTATGTATAAAGCCTCTGCATATATGTGACCAAGACAATATTTGTTGCGAAGGAACATTTGAGTTTTGTATGGGCCTACTGAAATATAAACATTTGCAGTTTATTATAATTGTAATTTATAGAACCCCGATGAAAGAAAATTATCTGGATTTTGTTGACCGCCTTGATTTATTGTTGTCTGTTCTGAGGAGCAAATTTGACTATCCCTTTTATATTTGTGCTGATTTAAATGTAAATAACCTTGAAAGCTCTTGGGAAAGGGATTTTTTAGAGGACCTGATTGAAAGCCATAACCTCAACAGTATTTTTAAGGGGCCTACCAGAATTTGTGGTGATTCAATCACTCAACTTGACTACCTAATTGTTGACAACTGTATAGCCAAGGAGTTTCATGCGCCCCGAGCTGACCCAACTTATGTTTCTGATCACCACTATCTGTCTGTTTATGTATTGTGTGACAGTGATGCTAAAATTAAAGAGCGCAGGACCTTTCGGAGGAAATTTAACGCTACCACTCTGGACACATTTCAAATATTAACGAGAAATGAGGATTGGGTGCATGTTGGCATTTTGCAAGATTTAGATATTGGCCTAGACATTGTTTTTGATAACTTTTATGAATTGTTTAAATATATCTTTGATGTAAGCTTTCCTGCCTTAACCTGTAAAAATAGAAATGAACCTAGCTCTTCTTGGATTGGTAATGATGTTGTACTCTCGCATGAGACTCTTTTGCAAATGTATTGGGACACAAGGTCGCAGGGTTGTTCAGAAGATGTTAAAAGGGCCTACAGAAGGGCCAAACGGCAGCATTCGTCTCTTGTTACTATGACAAAAAAGTCTTATTTTAGTAATAGAATTCTAAACTCAAAAAATACTAGTAAGGAGTCATGGGCTGTGGTCCGTGCACTTTGTGATGAAGATTATGAAACACATACTAACTTAAGCTTGAAAATTGATAATGTTGTTGTGACAAACCCCCAAACAATTGTAAATCACTTTTGTGAGTTCTTTTATGAGGAAATTTCTAGGTTGGCAAATGACAATTGTGCTCCTGAGCTCCCTGTTGACTTAGGTGAGGGACGCTTTTTTCTCACACATGCTACTGTTGCTGAGGTGAGGGAGGTGGTAAATTCACTGGGATCCAAGAAAAGTTCAGGTGTTGATGAGATACCATGCAGCCTCCTCAAGCTTTGTAATGAAAATGTTATTGAAGCCCTCGCAAATTTAATAAATAAATCCTTTGAAACTGGCTGTTTTCCTACAAAGTTAAAAACATCTAAAGTAGTACCTGTGTATAAAAAGGCTGATCCACTTGCCGTTAGTAATTATCGCCCGATTTCTGTGCAACCATGTATAGGAAAAGTATTTGAAATCATTTTTTTGAAGAGATTCCTTAGGTTTATAGAATTAAATAATATATTGACTGAGAGTCAGTTTGGGTTCCGAAAACATATGTCTACATCTGATGCTGTCTTTGCCCTCCTGAGGAACATCTATAACCACCTGGATCTTTCTGAGAGCCTTTTATGCCTGTTTTACGACATGACCAAGGCCTTTGACCTACTAAACCATAGTGTCCTGCTTCGTAAACTACTTTCCCTGGGAATTTCAGGAAGACCTCTGCATTGGATATTCTCTTATTTAAGAGACCGCCACCTGGTCGTATCACTCAAGCATTTGGGGAATGACAATACTCTACGCACATATAAGTCGGCTCCATCCCCTGCCATGAATGTGGGTGTCCCACAGGGATCAAACCTAGGGCCTCTATTGTTCTTGCTCTATGTTAATGACCTACCTGGCTCCATAACATCTGGGAATGTGTGGCTTTTTGCTGACGATGTATGTCACCTAATCTGTAACTCTGATCGTGTCAGTCTTATTGAAGATACTCAATCTAGTCTAATTGAAATGCAAAATTGGTGTAACGAAAACTGCTTGATCTTGAACTCTGATAAGACAAACCTTATAGAATTTTACAATAGGAAAAAACCTGAACCAGCTCCTCAACTAGTGCTAGATGGGGTTGCACTCACTTCCCGTGGAAAAGTAAAATATCTTGGCCTGCACATAACTGAAAATCTAAAGTGGGATGTACATATTAATTCAATAGCTTCAAGATTAAGATCTGTAATCAATTTAATTACTAGGCTCCAGAAATTGGTCCAGACTGACATTTTGTTAAAAGTTTATTATGGATGTTTTCACAGTATAATATCTTATGGAATAGTATTTTGGGGAGGTAGTACCATGGCCAATAGGATCTTTCTCCTCCAGAAACGAATTATTAGGAGAATGTGTGGTGCTCAACGTCTTGCTCACAGTAGGCCCCTATTCAAGGACCTTGGAATTTTAACCCTCCCATCACTATTTATTTTAGAATCTGCCATCTTGGTGAGAAATAATCCGGACATCTTTTTCACAAACAATCTGGTCCATCAGTACAACACGAGAAGAGCTAATCAAGTACATGTACCCCAAGTTAACTCAACTTTGGCCAGCAAGAGCCCATATTTTAGTAGTGTCAAGATCTACAACTCACTGCCAAGGAACATTATCCAAGAGCAAAATTTCAATAAATTTAAGAAGATGTTAAAAGAATATTTATGTGAAGCGGCCTATTTTAAAGTAGAAGATTTGTTCAATTAGGCCTATTATTGTTTATCTACCCATTTGACGACCACGTCGCAGGAGCGATGCTAGTGGGACATCATCAAGTATCAAGTAAGTAAGTAAGTATCAAGTAAACCCAATAAAAGAGCTACCAAGAGCTAAGGCTGCTATTTATGTATTATATTCCAGTACTCTCTACCCAATTTTTAAAGCATTATCAGAATAGGAGTTGAGAGCAAGATGAATGAAAGCACATGTTTTGGATAGACAGTGTTTGTATGTTGTAGGCAAACCTCCAATGCAAACCTCAAGATCAAACTACCTCTTATCATCTGAAGATAAGCTAGAATTTTTCTAACAAAACATTTGACAAATCGACCTGGATTAGTTGGAATTTGCACAATTAATTATTATTTGTTCTCATGAATCCCATGACAATGCTCCAGACTTTGTAAAACGGGTTGGTAAAACCACAATAAATTAAAAATAACAATCACAATTTCATTAATAATACTACTACCACTACCACACAATGATTCCTACCCCTTTTTCAATCAGTAGTTTTGAGCTCTGGTCAAGGAACTGTGCAGCTTCATACCAAATGTCTGGATGATGGCCTACACACAGCAGACATTGCTCAAAGGCAAACATGACCCTGCGTGTTACTAGGGTCGTGTCCTCACTGCGCAAGGGGTTGGATTTTTCCCACTGGATGTATTTCTTCCACAACTCAACCTAGAAATAGTAGTTAATGGTATATTTTTTGCCCAGAACATCTTGGAACACAAATATTATGATAATGTAATTTCAATTTTATACAAGAAGAAGGGCAGTGTGTAGCAAGTGTCAATGCTGCAAATGAGCAATGTAATCAAATTTCAGATTTTAGCAAATTTCCTTGATAAACTTGATTGAGTTTGCGAACCAACAAGATCGGGTAAAAGAAACAGAGTGTTAGGGGTTTTTAAATTGTTCAAGAATAAGTTTACCAAATTTTCACCCTTAAAACTTAAAAATTCCCACTTTTCATATTTTTTTATATTGAAGCATTGTTGTACAATTAAAGGTAACAAAGAAGGAGTGATGTGTCAAAACTGAATCTCAAATCTCAAAACCATCAAAAGTTTGGAAAAGTTTCGGTTTCGAGATTCAAAAGTTTCAAAATTGAAGATTTTGGCAGTTTTATTTTTGAAACTGCTGACATTTTTTATGTCATTATTATTTTTAATAACACTGTTTCCACACAAGCTCGTATCAATAGAGCAAACACATCACTATATCAACAGTAATAAAACAAGTAACTGTATTCTGAACTACAAAAGGCATCTTAATACTACAACTGGAAAGACGTACAATTCAGTTTCATATCAATATTTCATAACACAAAGAAATATTGACCACTAAATGTTCTAAACAATCTAATATTCATGTTTATGTTGGTATTAGGAGTTAATTTATTTTAATGTTGGTTGTTTATAAAAAAATATTTTGTATCCGGTTTTAGATTATCAGACGCATATTTATGTTATGACAGTGTCAGGAGTCGATCTCTTTCAGTTTTGGTTGCATACTTAACATTTCATTATTACCTGTATTTTTTGTAACCTTGACCTTTATAACTAGCTAAGTAAAAAATTTTCGCGTTTAGGTTTTGAGATTCGAGATTCGGGATTTGATTTTTAAAAGTTTCGGTTTCGGTTTCGGTTTTGAGATTCAAAATTTCTGGTTTTGAGTTTGACCATCACTACAAAGAAGATTCACAAAAACTGTACATCTAAAAATTGCATTTTATTCTAACAGAGAAAAAGTTACCTGTATTACAGAAGTTTGCTTGTTTATGGATATACAGTATTTTGATTCCATGCTATACTATTAATAGTTTACAAATAACACAATTTTCCTTCCTTGTAGCAACAAACCTAAGTACTCATTTAATCTTATGTTACTTGAATAGGGAATAAACCTGATATGTTTAAGGACATTTTTGCAAAAATCCAATCAGACAAATTAGTTTAGTCTGCAGGTTTGCTGCGGTGGAGATATTATTTTTGCTATGGCATTACCGGTATTGGTATTTTACTCGATTTTCAATCGTAGATACCACCACAGACAAGGGAAACAAAAGCAGACAGCCAACGGTCATTCTCCAAAAGCTCACCAGCGTGCAGGCGCGTGTCCTCTGCCACACTCTGCCACTGCCTCCTCTCTACGTTACCGACCTTCCCAACGCTAAGGAAGTGACGCACGCACGCGCGACGCCAACACTCATGTGGCTGTACACATCGGTGTATTCACCTACCACGGCGGCTCCCTTTGTTGACGGATTGTTCATGATTTATTGTAGTGTTGTGAACTGTTCTTAAGATAGTATATATTTATAGAATTGTAAGTTAATATGTAAATTTACAAAAATATTATGAAAATATTAATATTTACAAAAATATTACTGCTTGTATAAATATACTACGAAAATATTCCCTAAAAATTGGATTCAGGTTAAACTACCTATCAACACACGTTTTCAATTATTACATATTAAACATTCTAACACATTGTACAACATTAAACTGCAGACTTGAGTTACCTGCTTTATCTCTTCCAGGGTGCCAGTTGGAGGTGTGCTTGGAATGTTCTTGTTCAGTCCTCTGGTGATTGTCTCAAATTCTTTAGCCACTCTACGAGCATTCATGTAATCTCTGCTTCTTTCAATACCCATCTTTTCTGCAATAATTGGATTGATACTCTGTTCAAAAGCCATATAGTCCTTCCAGAATGTCTCTATACTGACCATGGGGTTTACCACTCCTCTCTGATAAACCTGTTTACAGAATTAAATTTAATATCATTTGTTCAGTCCAGGCAAAGTTAGTGTCATAAGGATGGTTGTTTCTTACACTTCATCTACATTACAAGAATGCAATATGTATATTTTAATGAATTAACGATATAAATAAATAAAAAACGTAATAAAATTGGGAAAAACATGTTGGGACATTTTGTAAAACACATAGGCCTACCTGTCAGTGATCTCAAATACATTGGCTTAATGAAATGAAATGAAATGTGTTTATTGTCTTTTGAATTTTTGCAAATTATTGACATTGTCAAAAAACAGCTAAAGTTATAGCATAGTCAGATAGTAAATATAATATAGCTAACCAGAAAAAATGAGACATGTTACAATACACATTATAAAAATATTACAATTGATTAATCTTATTCTAACTAAGAAAAGTCCGTAACATTTAGAATAATGGAAGTGATTGAGCCCCATAACCAACAAAATCCAACAGTACTATGGTCTACTATTTGCTAACTCTACTTAATCATTTAGAAAATAGAAGGGATTGTTCAGAAGCCATCTGTAGAATTTTGTATTTAAAGCATTTACAGGATATTTTGGTATTATATGTATTAGCTTGTTGTATATTTTTAGTGGGATTACAATATGGCTTTTAAGAGTTTAAGACAATCTGAAAAAAATCTATGGTAGCAACTAGCAACGCTTGTCCTTGTATTATGAACATGAGAATGTTGTTTGATTAACTTCATGTTGTTTCTTGTCTCAGGATTACTGTTTTAAGATTATAAAAGGTATAATGTTACCTGGATCTGCCAGAGTAATCCAAAGGCTGTCTGTCGACTACGCGTTTCGAAGCAATAATAGCTTCATCATCAGGTCTTCAAGAACACGTTTCACGACCTCCTGATGAGTGAAACGTGTTCTTGAAGACCTGATGATGAAGCTATTATTGCTTCGAAACGCGTAGTCGACAGACAGCCTTTGGATTACTCTGGCAGATCCAGGTAACATTATACCTTTTATAATCTGTTTGATTAATTCGGGATTTTTTAGAATATATGATACAGAGTCAAATAAATAAATGTTAATCACTGATGGAATTTGTAGCTGAATGAACAGGGGTTTACAGTGTGCTACGCACCATAAAGCTTTCTATAGACTTTTCATTAACTTAGGCCTACAAAATTCCTTTGGCTATTAAGTTAGCCCACATTGAACTCAAAGTCATTTCTTTCTTAATAAAAGATAATTCCTAATTTGTGTTTTATTTCTGTCTAATGAGGTAAGTCTTTATCTTAATCTTATAATATATGAATTATTTTAAGAATAAATAGATTTGGTAAGTTACAATATAAAATTTATTAATGAAATACAAATATAAGATAAGTTATTGGTTGAATTAGCTACAGGGTAAGTTAACAATGGTAAATTTTCAAAATGGTGGGGGTTCCAAAGTGGATGAAAAGATTCTAGGCTTATATTGGGTTGGTTTCTTCTAAAGTACTAATTAATATTTAAATAGATGACCTCTTAATCTCAGGGAGGGGTGGTCGTGCCGGTTCGAATGATATATTAGGCTTCTTTAAAATGTAGATAATTTAATTTAGTTATTATTATAAAATACTAGGTTCGTGATTCTATTAATATAATAATGTTAATGTTCAAAGAAAGATTCCAAATGGTTTCACTGAATTTAATGAAATAAAATAAAATTTGAAGATTAAATTTTGAATAAAAGTTCAATTTGAAATATATCTTGATGAGTTAAGTTAATTGGGCCTATTAGGCTATGCTGATTAAATGTCCAAGGAAGATTAAATTTGTCCTTAGTTAAACAAGATGGATGATGGTTACCAAATTTGGAGTGTCTGTCTTCACCTTTGTATCATTATGTAGTAAATAAAATAGGGGTTGGTTAAAATTTTGTACTATTCAAGGCACTTGTCCTGAATACTTTGGACGATAAGAAATTTAAAATTTAGATTATACTTTGGGATTATGAATTTAATTTAAATCAAACACAATGTCCAATAAAATGATGTTCACACTGTGAAGAGTTGGCAGGATCTGGGGAGAGGCAGGTAGAAGCTCAGGAAGTTCATGTCCATTGTTGAAATGATGTACAGCTGGTTAATTCACATAAATGACACTTGCCACAGTAATTTTGATTTTCTTTGGATAGCCTAATTTTGAAAAGTAATACTATATTTAAGATGTTATTACTATATTGCAATTTTCTTACAATTATATATTATTCTAAGTAAATGATTATTGTTGGTTTTTGATGAGTACAGGATAGGTATGGAGAGAATTGGCATAAATATTATATTGTAACATAAAATAGGATGATGTTTCTGTGGGGTGATAGGATATTATATAACATTGAACAAAATTTGATAAAATAACACATTAACAAGGAGAAACATATTAAATAACTGATAATACATTATCAGGGGCATTAACAGACATTATGAGAGAAAATATACAAAATAATAGAGAAATTAATGTTAATGATGAATGAATGACATGTAATATTACAAGTGTTCCTGTAGGAGTTCATAAGATATAATTCTAACCAACTTCTTTTGTAAGACTAATGTTTCCTCTATCCTACTGCAATTTCTGTAAAAGATCATATTGTATCTAAAAATGGATTGGAAATAAACAAAGTAGGCTGTTTTAATATTCAAGATTCAAGATTCAAATATTCTTTATTCAATATATAACACATATAAAACATACATGTATCTGAATAGAGTCAAAATCTATATACAAAACATATACATTAAAACATAAATCTACGCAAATGTCCATTATGAAAAATAAATGGAAATTCAAATGAAATATTTTTTTATCTACAAATTCTTGTAATGAATAAAAAGGATTTTTTACCAAGAAATCTTTTAAAAGTTTTTTTGAATTTTTTGAAATTTGTCTCCTGCCGGATGCTTATTGATAAATATTGTAACAATTTCAATCCTGCATAGGTGGTTTTCTTTGTATAATATTCTAATTTATGCTGAGGCAATCTAATTTTTAACCTAGTATTATAGTTATGCCCAGGATTGGAGGGTGTTGTTGGTTCCCTTTGTTTCAAAAAGATTATGGTTTCAAGAATAAATAAATTATACACAGTTAAAATGTCCAATTTATGAAAAAGATTCTTCACTGAGATGGTTTTCCGTAATTTCATAATAGTGCGAATTGCTCTTTTTTGCTGTTTAAGTACTTTATCAAGATTTGATTTTGTTGTTCCACCATAGACTGTGATTCCGTATGAAATGTGGGATTGAACTAATGAATAATCAATAATTTTTAAAGTTTCCAAATCACAGACTCTAGACATCTGTCTCAGAGCATAGATACCAGAAGATAATTTGTTTACGATGTGGTTGGTGTGATCATCCCATGAGAGATTTTCATCAATGATTAAACCAAGAAATTTAGTTAGGCCCACTTGATCTATTCTATCTGATTTTAAGAAAATATTTGGCTCGAATTTGACTTTTGATTGTTTGGTTGAAAATGATATTAGGTTTGTTTTCTTTTTATTTACTAATAGATTTTTTTATCAAGGAACTCATGGATAAACTGAACTGTTTTATTTAAAGATTTTCAACATAATCATGGGACTTTCCTGAAAACAGAATATTACAGTCATCAGCATACAGACACATTGATGCATCGGGCCCAGGGATCATCTCCGGCATGCCTCTTATGTAGCAAAGAAAGAGCAGAGGGCCTAAGATTGACCCCTGGGGAACCCCATAACGCAGTGTCTGACACTGAGACCTGGATTTTTCAAGGTATCGAGCCCTATCACTCTCGACAATATAATCAACTTCAACAAACTGTTCTCTGTTGTCTAAATATGAAGAAAACCATCTTAGCTCCTTACCACAAACTCCCAACTCCTCCAATTTAGCTAATAACTTGCAGTGTGACACACTGTCAAAAGCCCTACTAAGATCTAGAAATACAGTCCAACCTCAGTATAACAAATCTGAAGGGACCGAACTGAATATTCGTTATATCAAGGATTTCGTTAAAACGAGGTTCGTTATATAGAGGTTATGTTTGCAGGAATTTTGCTAAGTCGAGGTTCAGAACCAGCGTCGGTCAATATAGGTCGGGATTAGACCTCATTAAAATACAGTACAATTAAAGTAGCATAGGCTACAATACTTTACAGTAGTGTTTACATTGTACAGTAGAACCTAAATTATCCGGCATAAAAAAGGGGAGGGATCTTGAATATTGCGCAATCATGATAATAGCATTGACCTTGGTACAAGTTAAAAACTGTAAGTTTAAAATCACAGCTTGTTCTAACCCTCCTAAAACCTAGCCAAGTATTGCGTAGTCATAAACCATGTAAAGAACAAAACAAAACAGTAGTACAAAGTTTTGTAAGCTACTGCTCGTGATAGGCCGGGAGGCTACTTTACAGTACAGTACTGATTTATCACAACAGAGGAATGTCAATAATAATCATTAAATATAGCATTGGTGTTGCTAGTTGAAACAAATTGTATTGAAAACAATAAATTATTAGATAAGTCATTATAAAAGTGTATAATCATAGCCAACTTAAAGATAATAAACGCACTCGAAAAAGGAATGTTAAAATAACAATGTTGCTATTCTTTCTCTTTGGTTTTGTTTTTATATTCTTTCTTAGGTTTCTCTTTATCCAAAAATTGTACAATTCACCATAGTTACTTATCGCCCAATCACAGCTTACTAAACATTACGTCGTCATCAGTCCTCAGTGAATGAAATCAGTTCTCAGTTGCAACATAGCGCGCGCAGCGACAGCAGATAGAAAGATATGTAAAACGGAGCAGACGAATGTTAGCGCAAGCGATGACGTCACCTTTCATTTAATTTGATAAAGAAACAGATTTTTCAAAAACAATAATGGGGTGGGGGATTTGTTATATCGAGGGAAAGACGTAGACAATTCGTTATGCAGAGGTTAAATTTGCAATGTAGAGGTTCTGACAATGATAAAT